CCCCCTTCCCCTGCCCCGGCTCCCCCAGCTCCCTGCAGCCCTGTCAAATTCGATCCCTGCCTCTTCCGTGGTGAGGATCGGCCAAACGGCTGCCACAGCAACTTCTGTGCTGGCTGAGCCCTGTGTCCCCTTCCCGTGGGACTGGGGGGGAGAAAGTCACACCACGGACACATCTTCTGCCTGAGATGCTTGGGGAAGGAGAATCACAGAATCATGGGAGGGACCCACCAGGATGCTGGAGTCCAACTCCTGTCCCTGCACAGGACAATCCCAACATTCACACCATGTCCCTGAGGGCCTTGGCCAAATGCTGCTGGAATCTTGTCAGGCTTGGTGCCATGAGCACCTCCCTGGGGAGCCTGTTCCAGTGCTCCACCACCCTCTGGGTGCCTCAAGAACCTTTTCCTCATGGCCAACCTCACCCTCCCCTGCCACATCTTCCTGCCATTCCCTCTGCTCCTGGCATTCGTTGGTGGCCAGAGAGAAGAGATCAGCGCCTGCCCCTCCTCTGCCCCTTGGGAGGAAGTTCTAGACCCCCAGGAGATCTCCTCTCAGTCTCCTCTTCTCCAGGCTGAACACACCAAGTGCCTTCAGCCTCTCCCCACACCCTTCCCCTCTAAACCCTTCCCCAGTTTGGTGGCTCTCTGTGGCTTCAGCAAGGATGGGGGTTTGGTTTTTTGGGAAGGGAGAGGTGGGACCTCACGTGCTCTGTGTCATCAGCCTCAGGGGAGATGTTTGAGCAGCATCCCTGTGGGTCTCAGGATTCCTTGTGTTCCCTCCTCTCCATCCAGATGCTGAGATGGTGGTGGACAGTGAAAATAAACCTCTACCCTTGAAGGACTTTGCTGCTCCCCATCTGCTCCGCTCAGAAGGGACAAAGCCGCTGCCACCAGGTGCCAGGAGGTGGGTCTGGGCTCAGCTGTGTCCCACCATCCTGGTGGGAGCTCATGGGGCGAGGAGGGGGAAGGCTCTGCCGTCACAGTGCTGAGGATCTGTGTGCTCCAAACCTCCTGGTCATCAGAGCTGGTGGTGGAGCTGTCAGCGTTCCAAGGACACCGTCCCCAGCTGCGTCCCCACGTGTTTGGGAGCAGGAGGGGGTGTGCACAGGACAGAAATTGGGGCTATTGGAGCAGATCCTTCTGCTGTGGCTCCCTTTGGAATGTGGGTGCTGCTTCCAGCTCCCCCAATCTCACAACCTCCCATCCCTTGTGCATCTCCCAGGGTCGCCTTCCTCCGGTGGGAGTTCCCCAACTTCAGCAACAGGAGCAAAGAGCTGCTGGGCCGGTACGTCATGGCCCGGCGGCACGTGCAGGCGGCCGGCTTCCTCGTGGTGGACGTGAGTACCTGGGGGGGGGGAGAGGCAGAATCACACAATCAAGGGGTTTGGGTGGGAAGGGACCTTTCAAGGATCATCTAAATCCAACCCCCTTCAGTGAGCAGGGACATCTTCAACCAGATCAGGTTGCTCACAGCCCCGTCCAACCTGAGCTTGAATGTTTCCAGGGATGGAGCTTCTACCACCTCTCTGGGCAACCTGGGCCAGGGCTTCTCCACCCTCACACCAAAGAATGTCTTCCTTCTCTCCAGTCTGAATCTCCCTCTTTGAGTTTGAACCCGTTTCCCCTTGTCCTGTCACTACAGGCCCTGCTGAAAAGTCTGTTCCCATCTTTTATAATATATATTATACATTGAAAGGTCTCTAGAAGGTCTCCCTGGAGCCTTCTCTTCTCCAGGCTGAACAGCCCCAACTCTCTCAGCCTGTCCTCACAGCAGAGCTGCTTCAGCCCTCCCACCATTTCTGTGTCCCCACTCTGGACTTGCTCCAGCACTTCCATGTCTTTCCTGTGCTGAGGACCCCAGAGCTGAAGAGAAAACTCTTTTAATTCCATGAAAATCAAGGAGCAGACACCTTGGGGTGGCACCAGCTTCCTTCTCACTCCCTTCACCTCCTTCTGGATGTCTCTGCTTCCTGCCCAGCGAGGCAGAGCCCTCACCTCACCTTTACCCACACCAGGATTAGCCAACTTGATCCCTTCCAAGGCCACCTGTGAGCCAGCCTGAAGGTGACCAAGGGGGCGAGGGGGATCAGTAATCGAGGAGGACACCAGCCAAGGTCTCAGAGTGCTGATCCCCCACGCCAGAGCTCCGTGCTCCACCGGGGTCACGGGTTATTTAGCTTCCCAGAGGTAATTAATTAATAATCCTGTGAGGACCCTGAGCTTCAGCACGTCCCCAGCGTCCTCCTCCTCCCCAGTGTCCTCCTCCCAGCTTTGAGGCTGATGCAAAGTGAAGTTTGAGGTTCACCAAGAATGGTTTTCCCCAGTTTTTTTGTGTCATTCTTGGCACTGGCTGGGTGGGGAAGGCTCAGGGAGGAGGAGGAGGAGGAGGAAGGAAGTGCTACTGCATCAGCCTTACCTCCTGCCTGCTAAATATAGAGATGAGGTGGGTGGTGGGATCTCCCCAGATCCTTTGTGGAGGCTGGTGGAGGAACAACAACCAGGCTCTGGTGTTTTTAACACAGCTGGAGCTCTTGGCCATCAGCCAGAAAGCAGATGCTGAGCTCCTGCCCCTCTTCCCCATC